GACTTTCCCTCTCGTTCATAACTATCGAGTTCTCCTTTTCAGTCCACATTGCCAACGCGGGTGTTATCCACGGATTGGACTTGATCTGGCATGAATACCTCTAGTCAATCGATGCAGTAACTGGAAAAAAGCTAAGCTATTTGGGTAGGGCTAGGAGGTACTTTTCTCCGAATAAGCTCCTCACCCAGATAAGACCTAGCCTCAAGTACTAATCACATGTTTTGGGTGCTGCCACTCCGACTACATTAGCCATGCTCGATACTATTCAGAGGAGGGCTGTCGGCTTCATCGATGACTTCTGTCCAACGAACAGGGTCCTTTCTCGCCAACGAGCCGTCGCCGATCTAGCTCTCTTTTACCGATACGACGGCTCCTTTTTCCTTAGGGGACCGAGATTGTGTAGCAATTTGCCTGAGAAGATTGTTTCGTTCTATTAAGCTTAAGCCGCGGTGCCCTATTAATAAGGCTCCGCTCCGGTATAAAACCTTACCTTAGATGAATCTTTTATTTGGAGCAAGTACTCTCAAGTAAGAAGCAGTTTAGTTGCCTAAATGTGCGCGTCATCAGACTCATATCACATGTGTGAGATACCAGGCAGATTTTGAAATTTCTTGCATAGACACAAGCACATTCTGCTTTTCAAAAACCCCTCGCCCTACTTGTTTTTAAGTGGACGAAGTTATACTAAGTGACATATAAATCCGAACACCCAGTTTAAATGGTTTTATTTTAATAAAAGTAGGTGAATGTATTTATCTTACTGTAAATAACAAGTGAAAAAATGTTCAGCCTTATCAGTTGGACATTCCGGTTTTTATACTGCTTTTTTTTACGGAGACCTGTAACATTTCGTCAACTTAGTGAGTTTGATAGGGGCCGTATAGTGGGACTTCGGGAAGCTGGACTTTCTTTTCGGGCAATTGCAGTTAGAGTGCAAAGAAGTGTAGACACTGTGGTTAGGTGTTGTCAGGCATGGCTTCGAGAAGGCCGTACGCAAAGAGCAAGGGGCACTGGACGCCGCCGTAGAACAACAGACCGTGAAGATCGCCGCCTAAGATTATTGGTCTTTCTCCACTACCAGGTCCATTGCAAATGAATGGTTTGCAGAACACGGAAGACCTATTGGCATGCGAAGTGTTTACCGACGAATGAGAAGTTTTGGCTTGTTTTCATACCGGTCACACTGAGTCCTCCCTTTAACTCGAGAACACCGACGTAATCGCCTTGAGTGGTGCAGACAACGGTCACTCTGGGATCAGGAATGGAACAGTATTGTCTTTAGTGACGAGTCTCGATTTTGTTTAGGCATGCACGATGGTCGTGCCAGGGTTAGAAGGCGACGTGGTGAAAGGAGGAATCCACAGTTATTTGTTGAAAGACATGTTCATCACACTGTTGGAGTTATGGTTTGGGGTGCTATAGCTTATGGTTCCAGGTCACCTTTAATCTTTATCAGAGGTAACATGAACGCGCAGCGTTATATCCACGAAGTTCTAGAACCCCATCTTTTACCCTATCTTGACACCCTGGCAGATCGAACTTTCCAACAAGATAATGCCCGACCACATGTTGTAAAAGTCACAATAGACTTCTTTCAGCATAATGATGTCACACTGTTACCATGGCCACCAAGATCTCCCGACTTATCCCCAATTGAGCACGTGTGGGATATGATGGGTAGGAGATTGCTCAATTTGCAACGTCCTCCTCAGACTCTAGAAGCACTTCGAGAGGAGTTGAGGGTTGCCTGGAATGAGATACCACAGGAGGACATTGACCACCTGATCAGAAGCATGCCTAGGCGCGTTGGAGAATGCGTAGCAAATCAGGGTGCATCCACACATTATTAAAGGTCAAAGGGCTTTAAAGCAGTGCAATCATTTTGAAATTTTTATCATTTACTTATTATGCTTCATTAAGTACTTATACAAAATTTTATTAAAATAAAACCATTTAAACTGGGTGTTCGGATTTATATGTCACTTAGTATAGTAAGCTGGAATGCGGGTTGATAAAATAAATGTAGGGATACTAAATTTCGCCATAGAAGCGTCAGTTGAAAATTTCAAAATGGCGGAAGACGCTATCTTGGAACATTATGGGCGTTATGTCATGCGTTATTTTGAAGTCCTTTATATCTTATGAGCCGACAATATGAAACGTCTTGTAAAATGGCGGACTGACAGACGTCAAAGCTCAGCATTTTTGTACATACACTGAATCGCTCATAATACAATAACCAATCTTCTTCACTTGCAGGATCTATCCGAATATGAAGTGAAATATGAAACATTCTGTTTTATGAAAATTTCAAAAACTGTCAGTTTCGTTCAATGGAAAGTCTATATAATAATACACACTTGCATGGACCTTCCAAAAATACGTATATTGATATCACATACAAACTATAGCGTTTTAATGATAAGGTGTTTTGTTATAAGCCATCCGATGTACAAAAGCGGTAAGCCTTGACAACCTGCCAGTTGGATATGAATGAAAATAACTGTATACCTCATGGTTACAAAGTACTGTTAGGGAGCTTGAAAGTGAGTTATTCGGTGTCCCCCCATTCCATTTGAAAGGTAGCGCTCATCTGCCATTTTGAAGTTTTAAACTGCGACGTCCACGTTAAAATATAGTATGAATTTTACCACTCCAAACCTCAAGTTGCCTACTTGGCCGGCAAGGGTATTATGTAAAAAAACTAAAAACGTCAAAAAAATGACGAAATGTCAGATTAGCTGGTTTTTGGTGCGCAACCAGTTCTCTAACATTTAAGTAACATATACAGGGGTGCGTTTGTAAATCACTTGGCAATGTAATGCCGTACATAGTAGTGGAATGTAGATTGACGGATGAAATTTTACTCTGGAATACTGTGAAACTCTATTTTTAGAACGCCTAAATTATTACAGAGTCATGTAATGACTCTTGATGACATTGGACTAATTTCTAACCACATTTTCTGCGACCATTGTAGTTACTATAAGACACGAGGGATACGAGGTCGCATTTATCATGAAAAATATGCAGGGTGTTCCTTAATGATATGCGAGTATTTGAAGTTGTGAATCTACATGAAAAATTAATGTTAATGTGCTTTATAAACTATTGTCCAAAAATGTTTCCTTACAAAAACTCGTGGTGTTGAAGTTTTAGGAAAAAATGGAATTTAATTAATATTTTCTGAACCGCTTCAGATATTTCACTGATATTCAATACGTAGGAAAGTTAATAAAGTTGCATATTTTTCAATGTAAAAATAATTTTTAGCTTTAACAGTGGCGTGCGTACGGGTATTTTTTGAGAAAAAAATAGTACGCCAATGGTTTTTTGCCAAATAAAAATCACTTTGAATTCCTCGCTTAATTTAAGACAAATGATCCCTCTTGAATTGTTTTCCTTCGATGCGCCATCTTTGAGTGAAAAGATAAAAACCGTTCTATTGTCCAACTTGCAAAATTATTATGAATTTAATTGGAAAAATTAAACACATTAGGGGTAATGAACAACAACAGATGACAACATAAACATAACATTAAAACCAACGAAATGATTACAAAAATTGTTGAAAATGGCCCCCTTCACTTAGTATGCATGCTTCCGCCCTCCTTCTCATGGAACTGCGCACTCGTTGAAATATCCCTGGAGTGTTTTTTATTCGATCACAAGCTGCAGTTATTATTTCTCTTAATTCCTCTACAGTGTTAATGGGACTTGTGTAAACAAGTGTCTTAAGATAGCCCCATAAAAAGAAATGTAAACTGTTGAGGTCTGGGGACATTGGTGGCCATTCACGGGGCCCACCGCGGCCAATCTAACGATTTGGATAAACAGTTTGTAAACAATTACGAACCGCTACACTGAAATGGCCTGGTGCACCATCATGCTTGTACCACATATTGTTTTTTATTACTAACAGAACATCATCAAGCAGCAAAGGCAACTGTTGTTGAAGACAATTGAGGTAAGTCTGTTCGTCAAGTCGTCCCGGCAAGAAGAATGGGCCAATAAAGTGGTTGCTAATATTGGAAATGGGTTTCGGTTACGGCATAGGGATTTTCTTCTACCCACAAATGATTATTGTGGAAATTCTGAATGGCACTTCGAGAAAAATTTGCTTCGTCCGTGAACAGAATTTGACAACCAAATAAGGTAAACAAACAATGAACCATGAGAATGACAAGTGACAGGATTCTGAGGTCGGGAAGAAAGCACAATTTTGACGTTCCATAAGGATTACCTTGTTCTATTTCCGAACGCATGAAACACGTACGTCAAATAATTACGAACGCTAAGAATGTTACAGAGTAGTACAAAGTACACTCTGTAACAATTTACGAACGCAGCCCAGCTACAAAACGACTTCACAACAATCTTGTGTTAAGTTAACATCCTGTAGAAAACCCTACGTTATGTCACAAAAAACCTACGAAATGTTAAAAGAAAGACGAAATGTCACTTTTCAAAGTACGTAATACCCGTGCCGTTCAGAAAAAAAAATAGGGGTTAGACCTTTTTGAAAAGCATTTAGCTCCACCCTCCGCATGGAATGGATGGCATGCAATATATCGTTAGATTTCCAAATGGAATTTCAAGAAAGGGCAGCTGATCGGATGTATATAGATAACGTGATACGTGTTGTCGATCAGTGGACGCGCCAAAACTGACGTCGTTGGCCGCGTGACAAATCATGGCTATACGAGTACGTATACAGGAAAAACGCAACCAATGCATATTTTCAACATGCATCTTAATTCAAGGAACTAGTTTAACGTCCTGGCAACGCGGCAGATTGCCGTGTCAGTGTTGCTAGGCAACGCGGTGAGCTTCGCTATCCAGCTGGCTTCTATCTCTTTCCACCCTATCCGTCTATACACACTTCCCTCTTGTACACGTTGAACTCAAGCCGTCAGGCAAATTTGGTTTTACCTGTATTTGAAGGCCGGTGGTTACCACATCGCAAATGGAATAGTCAAGTTGTACTTACTGCCATCAACATCCACACACACAGATCCTGGACAGCAATTCTCATTGGCAGTGCACTGCCTGCCATAACATGCCTCGTCGTCAATGTTATCGTTGACGAACTCTTCAAGACCTTCTGTGCCTCCCTCCCTCTGTAACAAAAAGATAAATGAATATTCATCAACACATACAACTTACAGCTTAGACCTCCAGTAATGCGATCTCAGAAGCAGAATTTACATCACATCAGAGCCAAAGATTGATAACAAGCCTCAAGATGTTTAGACAACACGTACAAATAAGTGCTAAGTTAATATCTTGTAGAAAAACCTACATAATGTCAAAAAAAAATCAGCATAATGTCAAAAAAAATCGGCATAATGTCACTTTTCAAGATACCTGATACCCGTGCGGTATGCTAAGCTGTAATGTCTGACAAGTAGCGAAGACTTAGCAGCTACACCTTTTTTGAAAAAAGATGTTTGCCAAGGGTTCAGGAGACCAAAAGTGAGACTATCTGGTGATCTTTACCATAACCTAGATATTGATCTCAAAGGTCATTTGGAGGGAACTTCATAAATCCAAATATCAGTCACTATTTTTCGGGTTTTGCATAGGAATCATATTTCATACATGCGATCCGATGACGATTATGTGAATGTCTGGAAATCAAAGGTTGTAGTCGCTACCTAAATTTACAAGGATGGAGAATAGGAACTTTGCCAACAAAAGAAAACTGTAAATACAGGCTGACTCAGTTTCAATACCTGCTTTTTATAGTAGTAAATGCTCCTATAACCTTTACAGAATCCACTGACCGTTAAACCTGCCTACGTATTTCGGATATAAAAAACAATGTTCATAGCACAAACACAGCAGGGATGGAGCAAAGTTCAAACTCGCCTGTTGCCTCCATCCTCTTTAATCCTTATTAAAATCACATGTCAGTTGTATTTTTTAATCAGACTTTGCGCCCTTTGGCTATGTAATCGCCCCAAACAAAACATTCAGCATTACCGTGAAATCGTAAGGCTGAATCTGGCAAAGCTCATTATGAACATTTTCTGGTTGCTTGTCTTTTTAATATGACAGAAAGGATTTTGGGGAGATTAGTGTAAAGTTAGAACCTCTAATAATATTATTGTGAATTTAATAAGTTACTCTACTCCAGACTTAGGCTCACAGATTTATATCCAACACCTATGGTAGATTTCGAGGGTGAGTTTTTAGTGCGTAATCGGTCAATAGCTCCGTTATTTTATAATATGCCTAGAAAAGTTAGTTGCAGAAGTTATGGGTAACTCAATACTTAGAAAATATGCCGCTCTCTACACGTCAAATCATGGGAGATTCATAACTATGTGGGGATACAAGCATACTATATTCTAGCTCTGGAAATACTTTTGATGTACCAAATAATATAGGCCTTGGGCACCTACATCTGAAGCTATCAGATATTTTGTCTGATAAAACACTAAACTTTCATAAAGTAGTAAAATGTCAAAATGAGTTCCATATTTCAGTGTCTCGTCATTTAGATGATTTTTTGCGATTCGTATATTGTCTTTCGGTGTTTATACAGGGTGTAAACGTTATGGTAGTCATTATTGAAATGGGTAATAGGGGAGGTCAAAACAAGTCAAAAAGTTCATATGACCCATGGTCCAAAAGTCAATGGATTTTTGTCTAAATGGCTTTATAGTTTACAACGTTAAGTGGTTTATATCGACCACAATCACAATCTTACTAATTTTTATAATCTAACCTAAAACGTTTTTAAATTGGGTAATTAACAAATAAATGGCATTAAGTTTTTCTAATTTAAGCTAAAATTTGTAGTCAGTAAGTAAGCAACTTTCATTAAATTAAATATTTGAAACACACACGTCAAGAGCGCGTCGGTCTTTCATCACTCTTATCGAACCAGCAATCGATCGCAAACTGTAACAGTGGTTAGTTATCGTTTTGCATAGATACATTACTTATCGTTTTGTCGATCAGGTCATCGGGCCTGTTGTTTTGTTCTTGTTCGCGTACGTCGTCGTGTTTATTTACAATGTTCTTGAATCAAGAGTTCGCCGACATGTTGTCAGTTTACGGTGAAGCGAGTCAGAATTCAAATCTTGCAGCTCAAATTTATTGCGACAGATTTCGCCAACGGGTACACCCAGACAGAAGGACATTTGTGCAAGTGTACCAAAGACTTCGAGATACAGGAAGTGTTCAGCCTACTAATATCCGCACTGGTGAAAGACAGGTTACTGTAGAGCAGGAGGAACAAATTTTAAATATCGTGGAAGTCAATGCAGGTATCAGCACTCGGGAATTAGGCCGCCGCGTAGGACTATCGCATACCATAGTCCATAGAATCCTACGGGAAAATTTGCTTTATCCCTACCATGTACAACGAGTGCAGGCCTTGTTACCAGAATACTATCCTCGCAGACTAACATTCTGTCAGTGGTTTTTGTACAAAAACATTGAAAATCCGGATTTTTTTAGAAACAATCTAGCGACGGACGAATGTACTTTTACGCCAGATGGGATATTAAATACTCACACCTGGGAACAAGAAAATCCTCATACCATTCGTGAAAGTCATTTCCAACAATGTTTTAAAATAAATATTTGGGCGGGTATTCTTGACGATCAGGTAATTGGCCCTTTCGAGTTACCCCCAAAGTTGTTGGGAGAAGGATACCTTAGCTTTATAGCCAATAACCTATCAGAACTTTTGGAACAGACCTTATATAATATGCCATTACAACGGAGACAGAATTTGTTGTTTCTTCATGACGGGGCACCACCACACATTTTTAGAGGCGTCATTCAGTATTTGAATGAACTTTATTCAAATCGCTAGATCGGTCGAAATGCTCCTGATCCTCGAAAATGGCCAGCAAGATCTCTTGACCTCTTTCCGATGGATTTCTGATATTGGGGAGAACTTAAAGGGATGGTTTATGGGGCTGGTCCAATAACAAGTGAAGCGCAACTTCGCGAAAAAACATTTAATGCGGCTGAAATAATAAATGGTCAACTTCGAGGACCTAGAGTAAGAAGAAACTGGGTTCGTCGTAATGAAGCTTGTGTGGAAAGTGGAGGACGACATTTTGAACACCTTTAAATACAAAAAAGTGCAGTGTGGGTTTTAAAAAGAAAAACAGTGTATGTATCAAAATTGTGTTCCCTATTTATGAGTGGATCCTTTTAATACGTTCAATAAACTTTCACACACCAGATGAAGCGCTGAGATAGTTAGTGGTAAGTCCGTTTTTTTAATTGTTTGAATTTTACGAGTACATTATCAAATAATGAAATGATACCTAAGAGCCAAAAATAACAAACTCCATCTTTATTTACACTGCGTTCCGTCGTAATTTGCGTCTGGCATTGCGGCGTTGTCAGATTTTATTTTACTTTAAAGTCGCTTTTCTCTAAAAAAATCAATCACCTATTTAAATAATGACTATCATAATGTATACACCCTGTATACTCAAAACGCGCTGTTTCCTGAAAAACTATTGAAATGGAATATCCTGTATATTTTTAGCATTTTAGATTTAATTTGATATCCAATTTTTGGGGTGTTTGCTTGCTAAATTAAGATAAGTAAATACCACATCATCCCTGGAAACGGATGATTTTTTGTGAGCGGGAGGTAGTTTCAACGAAGGTTTGCACCAACCCTCTAAAAATCTTGCCTTTTCAGGACGTGAAATTTACTGAAATATACAGAGCGTTACTCGGAGCTTTACATTTAAAGAAATTGCGGAACACTTGTTGACTACTGCGAAACCCCAGCAGATCGTGTAAGTGTCGTCTATCCCTTTTACTATCCACGGTTTCTAGCGGAGAGGTATATAACTATATATATAATAATAGATATTATATTTTTTGGATGATATATGACATCCCAACTAACAATACTCACTCCTATTAGAGTTGCAAGAATGATTATGCAGTATTCCTTACACAGCATTGTATACTGTAAGAACATTGACAAAACCCTCTTAGAACAGCTAGACAAGCGGAATGGGCACACCTAATAGGACACTTTAGTCATTTAAGAGGTTGTATAAGGGCTGCAGGTTACAGTTATACCACAAAAGTGTAAGCCTCTTGCAGCCGCCATAGGACATTTGCATCAGTGCAAGATTCAGTTTTTGACAACTATACAACTATTCTGTTACGTAATTCTACTTTATTGCAACCAAAATATTTCTTATGTATTGTATAGACGAAGTGAAGGATATATAACTAACACATTACAGTCATTGTTTACTTACATATCGGCCATTGTGAATTTCATACACAGGTATACGATAAACTTCTACACTGTGATATAGGGCTATTGAATTACTTGAGCAGCAAATTTTATTGTGATTATCGGGCAAAGTAGTTACGCAATTTCTACGGGCTTCGTATTTGATTCATATTTTAATAATGATCAAAAGTATGTCTAGATTTTTAAGATGGAGAACTGAACTTAGCTGCGTTAAATCTTCCACAAATCCTATATTTAGACACAATTACACTAATGTTTATCACTTTATATCTGTAATTTCGAACTGAAACATAATTATTTAATATATTATTAAATAGAGGAATAAATGTTTGCCCAATATGGCGGGTGGTTGTGTATAATCATGGCATCGTCCATGTTGACTTTAGTTTATTAGAATATTTTGGTGTTGCCCAGAATTTGTACCAGATGTACGTTATATCTTCTGTTTGAACACTTGATAAAACCTTTTGAACCAATATGCATGCATTGTTTGTCTTAAAACATTGGTTATGGCCTTTTAACAAAAATATGACAGCAGAAAGTTAGGTTATGGTGAAGTTGTATACCAACATATTTAGCAACAAATGTATGCCGAGCAGAGCAATTGTGTACTACAAAAGTTGTAATATTGTTGCATATGTACAGCCTTTAACAGTTACTAAACAACAGTTGTATAAGTGCTTCCGTTGGGAGCAATTTGTTGGTAAGGTAAGGTAAGGTAGTAAATTTGCACAGCAAAACAGCAAGGCTCGGGTTTGTCTTATAAAGGTTACCATGGATGCCACAACACAACCATTTTGACTAACG